CAAACTGGCTCTCATAGTATTTATGACATGTACTTATGACAATAGGGCATATTTCAAAACATTCAGATTTGAATTTTTTATACAGAAACCCAGGGTTATTTTTTTTCTGGAAGAAACTCCACACAGTAAACATTATAAAATGATTTATTGGTTATAGTCTCTGTATCTGAAGTGATTTATATTATTCCTATAAAATCTCCTTTAAGTCAAGCTTAATTCCTGATTACTTCATAGAAACATCTATGGAATTTTCTTTTTCTAGTTTCATAGTTTAGTCTTCAGTTTTGATTATCTCCTATCCAGGTACTCTTTTAGTTTCTGAGTGCAGATCAGTTGCCTCCTGGTTTTTTTTATATATATAAATTTTATTAATTTTAAAATAACCCCCCCATACAAATACAAATATAAGCATACATTAACATAACAACTTCAGTAACAGCTCGGCAGCGTTTTGATCGTTTGCCTCCTGTTTTGATCTATTTGATAAGAACCAGCTTTAAAATGTATCTCTTTATTCAATAAATCCACTTGCTGAGAAAATGCAAACTTCTTACCGTTCCATTACACTGGCCATCCTTGATCCTCAGATACATTCTTGGGTGTTTTGCATTTTCAAACATACAAATCCCAGAGCTGATTTTATGAACTTTCCAGTAAGAATCATCAGCCTGATTTCCTGCTCCGCTGCAGCTCCCATCAGATCTTAGGCAGAGAAACTGGCAGTAGCTTGTAGTAAGCAAAATTATGGCACTGTTCTGGAATATACCCTAGAAACCAGCAAACAGAACCATCTGCAAATAATATTGGGTTTCAGATTTCCCATTTTTCACCTTTTTACCTACAATCTAATCCACTTTCCCCCAACTGGTATTTTCCAGATGTTTCCCAACTAGCATGGCCCTTAAGGAGTGGATAGCATATTTGTTTTTAGCTTGTAATTTGTTCAATAAGCCATGATTTAAACCAACTATGGCTAAGCAATCTATTATATCAGAACTGGTCATTTTTAGCTGCAATAATTTAATCTCATTTGATACAAGAATACAACAAACTAAGGAAACTGTGGAGCTACTGATAGTGATTTCTCAAAGCTATTGCAGTCTTCAGCTCCATCTAGTGGGTAGAAGTTGCTTGTCTTTTGAAAGCTGTTCATTCGCTGTTTGCACCAGCCTATGTATCACATTCCCTTCTTTTTCCTTTTCTCCTACCTTTACGTGGACCACAAACTCCTTGGTTAGCCCTGCATAGCCTGTGTTATCATCGGCCACCATGCCTTGGGAATTGAAAGAAATCATTTGCCCTGGATTCTGGGATGATTCCAGAATGGTGCAATGATTAGGCTGAACATGAACTTGCAGTTCACAGTGGTTATCACCATAGTTCTAATAAAGAGGAAAAATAGGATTAGTCCACATTCACAGACATTTTGAAAATGGATACAATTTTAGATCATAGCATTACAGTTTTGCATAACTGTACAGCACAAACCTATCCTCTCCTATAGCAGTACAGATTTCTTTCTGTTGTGTTTAAAAAGATGAAACATATTATAAGATCTAAACCAGGAAACAGGATTAGTGGATTAGTTCTTCAGTATTTACTGTCATTACTGCAATTTTAAGGGTGATGCTTCTGACTAAAAAGTATATTATTAACTGAATTATAACTTCAGCTACTACACTAGCATTAATATTGCAATAATGCAGCATAAAGTGCATAAGTTTGGGCTGCCAGTAAAACCTCCCAGATTTTCCTTCAACAATGGCACAACGCTTTTAGAACTCAACTCCCGTTGCTGCTGTGGTTTCCCTCTCAGTATCATCATCATGTATTGATCAGTTCCTGATTGTTGCAATTTTTACTGTTATCAACCAAATGTGTCGTAAGTTTGTGGCAAGTCTGTGAAAGCATTTCTGCACAGCTACAAGAGGAGTTTTGGTGGTAGTTTCCCACCCCCACCCCCTAAAAAAGAAGAGTTGATCAGTAAATGGCATGATAGCAAAACCAAAGAATGTCATATAATAGGAAGGAAAGTCTTGGAGTGGCTAGCTGCATGCTTTGGTAGAGGATATTTGTTATGACTTTTCTCATAGTTCTGATCAGCTTTCTTGAGCACAAACATAATGGGAAAAAAGATAGAAGGCATGGGTGAAAAGGTTACCATCCCTGTGACTGAGCCACGGGCGAGAGCAAGTCCAAGGTGGGGGTTTGCATGGCTTCTAAGAACACAGAGGCTTCCTTTCTTCACTGCCACCTCGAAAAGACCTAATTAGTTCAGGACAACAACAAAAACAGAACCTAATCAGATCTTCATAATACCGTATTTTCCGGCATATAAGACGACTGGGCGTATAAGACGACCCCCAACTTTTCCAGTTAAAATATAGAGTTTGAGCGAGAGAGGGGGGGGGAGAGAAAACTTGATGAGTAATATGCCAAACCACATGTGTAAAGGAATAAAATAGAATACCTGTATTTTCTGGCGTATAAGACGACTGGG